GTCCTTTCACTCATTCCCTTGCTTACTCTTACCCACTCATTCATTCACTTGTATCTGGTCAGCAGAGACCCCCGTGACGTGGGGCATCCTCCACAATCAGTGCTTGTTTCATTGCTTGCTTCATTCCCATTCAGCCCCCAAGGCAGCTACTCCCCAGATCCCCAGCCCAGCACCTGGCGTGGAGGAGATGTGAATCACGTGCCCATCACACACACATGAACATCCTCAGTGGCTCTCACCACCTTACATGATCTGAGCCCAAAGAATTCTTTGGAGATTTGTTGCCTTCTCTCTCGCTCTCACTATCTTAGCTCCAAAACCCCAGGTTGAAATCCCAACTCAGCCACTTCATAGCTGTGTGACTTAGGACACATCCTTCAACCTCTCTGAGCCACCATTGCCTCCTGGGCAGAGTGGGGATAGTAAAAGCAGTTGCTTTAATAAAGTCGTGGTAAGGGGACTCCCCTGGTGGTCCAGTGGTTCAGACTTCATCTTCCAGTGCAGCAGGTATGGGTTTGATCCCTGGTCAGGGAGCTAAGATCTCACATTCCTCGCAGTCAGAAACAACAACAACAACAACAAACAAAAAAAGAAAAACAACATAAAACAGAAGCAGTATTGTAACAGATTCAATAAAGACTTTTAAAAACTGGTCCATATCAAAAAAACCTAACAAGAAAATTTTAAAATTAAAGTGGTGAGGATTAGGTCAAAGAACCCAATGGAAAACTCTTAGCCTGTGCCTGGCAGGAGTTGCCTAGCTGCTGTTACCCCTCACTCCTCGTCTGACCCCTCAACGACCCCACCCCCACATGCATCTTAGGACTCTGAAGGGAGCAGCCACCAAGGCCCCGCCCTTCAGTCTCCAGACGAAAGGCACAGGCCCCGGAGTGGAGGGTCACATAGCCAGCCTGCGGCCCGGGCAGGACTTGAACCCAGGACTCCAACTGAGGCCCACTCACTGTCCCAGCCCGGCCCAGAGTGGCAGGAAGAGAGGCCTCCACTCACAGGCTCAGGCCCTGTCGGGCTCGACAGCTCTCTTCTCCGCTTTCAGGAATGAGTTAATCCTGAGGTCTGTCTCAGGTCCCGGGTGTAATCTTCCTTACGATGCTTATCATATTTCTGGGGCTGCATCTGCCTGGCTTTGAAGGCTCTGGCAGGGGCCTCTCCTGGCCTTGCCGTAAACGGGCTGAATTACATTTACAAGAGGCCTTTAATGTGCCGTGGCCCCAGCTTCCTTAATGGGGATGTTCCTCCTCCTTCTTTCTCTTTCTCTCCCTTTTAATACGGTCACCGGTTTGGCCTTCCAAGTGCGGTTTGGATCCCTAACAGAGAAGTCGAGGCTGTAGAGTCCCTTCCAGATCTGTCCTCCCCGCCCCCCCTTGCCTCCTCCACTCCCGGCAACCTGTGCCAAGGCCCCAGGGAAAGAAGACAGTGCTCCGGTCAGGGTTTCAGTGAGGAGGGAAGCCCTGTTAGGAGTCCAAAAACTCGACTGGGAAATGGCGTACAGAAATTCTCCTCTGACTTTATACCTGAGCAACAGACCCATGAGCCTTGGGAGGGAGATGGGAGGTGTCCAACCTGGAGGCATGACTGCAGAGGGTGGGCTTGAGGGGTAAGGTAGGGTGAGGGGCCCTCCCAGCCCCCTCCCTATCTGCCACTCCAGCCCTCTCTTCTAAATTTCTGTACCTCTGGAGGCCTTAAGTGTCCCTTAACTATTTTTTTTTCGCTAGTTCTGTCTCTGCAACTGAATCAGGTCCTATCTGATCTTTCTATGTCTATGTCTATATCTATATCTATATCTGTACATCTCAAGAATACCAAACCCAGTCATAGGCTTGGCCAGCCCTGAGATGGAGGCCTAGAAGAGGGACCTAGTTTGTCTCCCCACCTCTCTGCTTTTTTTTTTTTTTTTGTCCTGTGATAGGATGAGAAAGAGCAGGGGTGCTATTTTTGGAGAGTGGATCACTTACTTCTTTCTCCTTTGAAAGAAGCACAGGACAGAGCCAGGTCTGGGGGCCACCCCGCCCCCAGCTCCGGTCCCCACACCCGCCCAGGTGCTCTGCCTCCCAGCAAGTCCTCCAGGCTCTTGTGAGACACCATTGGGGTTGCTGGTGTCACTGAGCCTGGGTGGCCTCCAGCTCCTGACAGCCAGCCGGCTCAGGGAGAAGGCCCAGAACCCTGCCCAGGGCCGCCTGTCATTCATAGGTCTAGAGAGCGGGTCTCCTCCCGCGTGCATTCATCTCACATGCCATCCCCTTTGGCTGCACACGTGTACTCCTCTGGCCCTCAGGCAACCAAAAAAGGGTAGGAGACAAAGAGGCCAGGAATACCAACTCTGTGACATCTTCCCCCGAGGAAAGACAGTCGTCTCTCGTGTCTTGATAAATCACGTTTTATCTCCTTTCAAAAGGAGCACGTGGAGGAGCCCATTTATCTTGATGACACCATCCAGTCTGCACAGTGTCACCTCTCTGCCTGGGACACAGCCCCTCTACCAGGCTTCCGTGAGAAAGGGAGGAAGGGGAGCTTGAGGGAGCATCTGAGAGAGGGAGGGAGGTGCGTGGATCAACAAGTGCCTACTGGACGCCTGCTCTATGCAAAGCCTTGTGCTCAGCGCAGGTGTGGTGAAAGGGGAGGAAGCAGCCGCCGGTTCACGCTGAGTGCAGAGGGGTGAGGGACACAAACAAGCAAGAAGTCACACGCGACTTAATAAGTTAGGTACTCGGCAGTCTGGCCGGAATAGGGCTGGTGACCAGTAGCTGTGATGACGGGGAAGTCAGGGAGCGCTGCAGCAGCTGCTTCCAGGGCCCCCAGGGCCCCTGCCAGAGTCTGCTCACAGGGACAACTGGGAGTTTTGTTCTAGCCATGGGAACATCCTTGGCCAGGAGCGCCTGAGAAGCAGTGCTCTCAGAAGCTCAGACAAGCAGGGGGTTGGTGGTAAGCACCCCAGTCTCCTCGCCCTTGACGGTGATACCTCTGCAGTGCGTTCTATATGAGCCTCGAGTTCCTCAACAGACCTGAGCTGCCGCCGTCCAGTGATTAACTGGCAAGGTGACACTTTCTTGCCTGTCCTGCCTTACTTCTCGAGATCACTTCCCAAACAAACAACTTGCACTCACTTCCTCATCTCTGGGTCTACTTCTGGGGAGACAACCTAGACCAACACAATGCTCATGCTTGGTGACTCAGTGGTAAAGAATCCACCTGCCAAGCAGGAGATGCTGGTTCAATCCCTGGGTCAGGAAGATTCCCCTGGAGGAGGAAATGGCACCTACTGCAGTATTCTTGCTTGGGAAATCCCATGGACAGAGGAGCTTGGTGGGCTGCAGTCCATGAGGTCCCAAAAGAGTCAGACACAACTTAGTGACCAAACGATACCAATAGAGGAAGCTTAAGTATCTTAACATGCAGTCTCCATATTTGTTCACGTGGAATGGGAATCATCTCATTTAGGAGTCCTAAAGGATTAAAATGCATCTCCAACAAGTTTCAATTTTAGAAAATTATAGTATTTTATATAAGTGAAAAGTCCCAGGTAGACCCTGGGTTTAGGAACAGCTATATCTGGCAGCTCAAATGATGTCAAATGGGTCTGCCCTTCACCCTCTCTTGGCTCTGCTTTTCAGTCATTCAAGAAACAGTTACTGAGGGAATTCTCTTGTGGTCCAGTGGTTAGGACTCCATGCTTTCACTGCCAAAGGCACAGGTTCCATCCCTGATTGGAGAACAAAGATCCCATAAGACACATGGTACAGCCAAGAAAAAGAGGAAAGAAAAGAAAAAATTATTGAGCACCAACTCTGTCCCAGGCTCAGATCCTTTCTCTTGCTTTGTTTCCATCTCAGGCAATGATGGAGATGGTCACTAGGAGCTCCAGGCCTTCATCCTGCCAGCTTAGCAAGTGTGGGGGGAAACACTGGGAGGAAGAGGACCCCAGCAGAGGTCTCAGGGCTGACCCTCATTGGTCCAGATCCTGTCCCCTTGCCCACCTCTGAGCCAATCACTGTGACTCTGGGTAGCTAGACTGGGTCACCTGCCTACCATTGTTGACAGGGGGTGTTGTCAGCTCCGTGTGAACCACATGGTTAGAAACGGAGGAAGGAGGCTCTCCGGAGGGGCGATGGGTGGTCTCTGGGACAACAGATGCCTGTTAAAGTCATGAGGTGAGCCCCTCACCACATGCTGGGCTCTACGGGCCCTAAGGTAAGTCAGACAAGCCCCTGGTGGAGGGCGCTCACGAATGTCAGCAATACATAGCAGAATGTGGTGTGTGTCTTAGGACTGGACAAAACGTGTAGATATTCTGGAAAGAGGGTGATTACTCTCAGCTCGGCAATCAAGGAAGTCTTCTAAAAAAGGAGGCACTGACCCGGACATTGATGACCACTACGCATCACACCGAGGAGTTCAGATTCTAAGTATAACCAGTAGAGAAGGTTTGGGATCTGGCGTTTCCCAGAAGCCTTGCCCATACTTGTAGAGGGATATGCCAGCCCAGCTGAGGGGTCCACTGGGCCCCTCTTCCTTGTACTGGCCTGTGCCTGCCCTGGAAATAACCACCCACCTAAGCTAAGAATAGGAATTCCTGCCCGGCTGGCAGGAATGAAGGCTGATTTCTGAAGGAGGGATGGGCCTGAAAACAAAGCACAGTGTGTGGGTTGGGTCACCCTTTGTATTTATTCGTGAGGTCACTTGAGAGCCTCACCCACATCAGGGCATGGATCCTGCCATTAGACCCAGACAAGGTGATTTGGCCAGGATGGCAGCCTCTGGGGCTCCTCACCCGCCCCAGAGGTCCTGGACCCTCAGCCGGGGGCACCTTCTGCCCCCAGGGAGAGGTGACCACTCCTCTCTTGTTTTCTTGGCAGCGGGCGGAGGTGGGGGCATTTGGTGGCCAGCTAAGATGCTGAGAAGCTGAGGGAGAGGAAACGCAGGGTCCCAGGTCCCTACGGCAGCTTCACCCGGAAACACCCAGCTCATGAGCATCTCTCTTCCAGGCAAAATCCTCTTCCGGAGGAGCCACATCAGGGACGTAGCTGTGAAGAGGCTGAAGCCCATCGATGAGTATTGCCGGGTAAGAGGGCCTCTGGGGCGGGGGAGGGGTGGTCCACCTGCCAGAGAGTCTCTGCATCTGGGAAGGAGGGTTGTCTGTTCAGAACTCTCTGCTGCTGTTTAGCAGATGCATCCTGAGGCCCGATGTTTTCTGGCCAGAGGGGTGGGTGTGGGTGTCCCTCGGGGTGGGGGGGGGTCACCCCAGGACTGCCTCTGGGTCACAAGGGCTGTGGGCTCTACTCCTTTCAGGAGTCTGTGTTTACAAAACACTCCTTTAAATCACTTCCACCAGCTTGGGAGCTCCGTGCAGGGACCTCTGCTGAAAGGATTCTGTCTGGCTGGATACAGGAGAACTCTTTCTTTGAATTCTCTATGGGACATTTTGGAATCAGTCTCGAGTTCAGTATCATCTGAAATGCATATTTGTTTATAGACAGAAGTCTTGGTAGATACAGATGCTTATGTATACATCTTTATAGATGATAACACTCACCACACACACACACACACACACACACACACACACACACACACACACACACACACACACACACACACACACACACACACACACACACACTAGAACAGCCAAAGCCCCAAAACAGACAGGCAATGACAGCCACGTCATGAAGCAGAACCCATTTGTCTTTCTACCTTGTCCAGAGCCTGGGACCCCTGCAGTAAGGACAAGAGGCTGCCACTTCAGTGGCCTTGGAACATGGCCTCTAGATGGCCACACCACCTGGGTTTGAATGCCTGCTGGCTGTGTGAACTCAGCAACTTACTGAACTTCCCGGAGCCTCAGTTTCCACACTTGTCCAACGGCAAGGAGACTGGTACCTCGCAGAGTGTAGACATGAGGATGCAGTGGCCAGACAGGCGTAAGGCAGCAGCACAGAGTGTCCACACAGAGGAAGCATTTGATGGATGCTGGCTTTTTGTTGTTATTATTACAAGACCCAAACAATTTAATGTTATCACCGGGCGCCACTGGCTTTTAATGGAGATAGAATTTCCTAGTTAAGTGAAAACTATTGTGGAGTCTGACTCAAGAATCTTGAGGAGAAGCAAGTGGGGGATAATGTTTTGTTGCGAGTACTGGTATTAGAGTGAGAAGAGCTGGGGTTGAATCCCAGTGCCCCACTGACTAGCTGGGTGACCCTGGCAAGATGCTATACCTCTCTGAGCTCGTTTCCTGATCTGTAAGATGAGGGGGTAAAAATATATGTCTCATGGGGTTCATGAAGGGGTTGAGCAGGAGAATATATCTCACAGTGTTTGTAATTTCTGAAATGTTCTGTCCCTACGTGGAGTTGTTACCATAAGGCTCCTTTCTGCATAAATATTTCATAATTTGGAACACTTGTCAATAATAAAATATTTAAATAAGAACCTAGTTGCTCAATTCAGTAACTGGTGTTCCCAAGATGATGGAGAGGCAGGCACCCCCAAATATTCTTCCTTATCCTAAGTTTGAATTTTGTGGCTGTGCAAATTATGCTGGGTCACTTTTTCTGCCTTAGGGTAAAAGGATGCTCTGATGATGAATTTCCTTAAGCTAGAAGTTTCTCTTCTTCAGATCAATATCCATTTTTCTCTTTAAAGGGCAATCGCCAATCCCAGTTAAATTGATGGCTGCAGCCTGCGCTTTTATTTCTCTTTATTCCTCTCTCAAGCAGTTAAACAAATGGGCAGAGCTATTTGAGGAAGGGCACAGGGCGGGAGGAAGCCTCTTGCCACTGGGACTTATGGTTTACATCAGCCTCGGCCTCCCTGAGCCCGTGGAGCCCGGGGCATTTGCAGTTGGGCTCTGTGGAAATGCCGTCTCCTGGGTTGTCTGGAGCAAGAAAGTGATAACATCTTATCTCCTGGGATCAGGGTTTGAACGGACTCCTAAGTCAGGACGAGGACTCTGGGGCCCCAGTGGTGCTACTGGTGGCTGGGCAACCATTTAAGTGGGGTCTGCAAGAGGAGAGGGGGCCCCCTAACCTAATTAGCATAGATGAGAACTGCTCAGGGCCAGGCAACAAGAGCAATGTCATGGGTTCACCAGGCAGCCAGGCAGCTTGGAGACGGTAATTTACTCCGAGAATGGCAGAGAGGGCGGGGCAGTGCAGAAGTGACCTTTAATTCTGCTGAACTTGAAAGCTGGGATCTGTGGTCCTATTGTCTGAGACCTTGGAATGACCTTGGAATGATCATTAGTGATAAGTCCAACTGCAGTCCATGGTCACTGCCCTCCGGCATTGCACATCACAGCCCTGCTGCCCAGTCATCCTGTCTGTGCCACTTAGGGTCCAACATTTCACTCAGCATCATTGCCCCCCACAGCCAGCTTCACAGTCAGAGCCACGTGCAGTCCACTCCAAGGCCAGCCCTGCCTCATTTCCACCTGTCCTTGGACATGCTACTCAGAACCTCTAGAGTTTGATTTCCAGTACCTGCCTAGGCAGCTCTGCTTGGCTGGCCAGAATCTTCCTTGGACCTGCTAGGCAGCATGGGCTCCGAGTCTGGGATTTGCTGGTGACTCAGATGCGCCCAAGATTGTGAAGCTGGCTTTGTGCACAGCATAGCCAGCTCCTCTGCCAGGACTCAGATATGGAAAGTCTGACCGTGCAGTGGACTCCCCTAGACTTTGGGCTCCCTGCCTTCGCTGGCCAGCCAGTCCCTCCACCTGATGGCAGTTTCACAGCCCAGATCTCAGTGTTAATTTTAAACATATATGGAGCAGATTGGATGAGCGTCACGGAAAATTTACCAAGTGCCAGTCGGCTGATTGTTTTATGTGGCTCTTGAGGGCCGCTGTCTATCAAGAGGGGTTCCAAAGGCTTTTCTGTTACTCCATAAATTAATTTAATGGGCAGAATGGTTATGCGGTTAATATTTAATGGTTCTGTGGCCTCAACAATTTGAAGACTTTCATCTCACTAACAAGCATGAGCTATACTTTGGGGGCTCAGATGAACAATCTATCCCATAAATGACTCCATATACCCCATTCCTGTGTGTGAAATACATGTTTGCAGTGTTTGTCTATGGGATAAAATAAATATCCCAGGGGGTGGACAGTGAGAAAGAGTGTTTGAGAATAGTCAGCCCACCCTCTGCCATGTAACAATGTTTATACAAGTCTCCATTTCCTGGTGGATGCAACTAGAATTTTTTGTTACCCCAAAAGCTGAGTTCCCTTCTATTATTCCTGCGGTCCACCATCAACTTGGTTTCAGAATCAAGGACTTCCTTTGTTGGAGGGATGAGGGCTTGGCTCCAAGCCCAACAAGGGGATCAGCCCTGTTGGGATAAGGAAAGCACCCCCCTCCCAACCCTCTGCATTTCCCAGACACATTCATTTTTAGCCCCACTTCTCAGATTCAAAAACTGAGGCTATTACTTGGAGGTTCTTAGCCCCAGCTGTTCCCCCTCCCACTGTGAGAGTTTCCCATCATGGCCTATCATTGTCTCTCGTGTTAATAAAGAACAAGATTCATGGTGCAACAGAAACAGTCCTCTCAAAAGCAGGACATGACTGCTCAGTCCTAGACACAGGGAGAGTTACTTTGTTCCTGTGTCCCTTATGCTAAGGCAGGCCTGGGCCAGCAGTGTTCCTGATGGGGGGAGACTGAGGCAGAGCCAAGAATGACGCATTCATGCCTCCTGAGAGGTCTGGTATTCGGAGGAAACCCAGCTGGCAGAATCTCTTCATCTTCTCTGGTCCAGACAGACCCAGGAAAAAAAGCATTTCCATCCTGGGATCAAGCTTATAGTGTCCATTTTCCACAGAGAGGTCTTCCGAGGAGCCTCATTGCCCACAAGAACCTCTGAACAGCTCAGCCAGGTCCTCTGTGGGTGGTTCCATGGGCTGCTTTGGCTTCAGCCCCCTGCCTCAGCCCAGTCCGCAGAAGCGCAGCCATCCACAGCTAGCCAGATTCCCCAGGTCTCCTCCGCCCCTTGGTCTGGGCTGGTCTCTTTCCTAGGCACGCATCCAGCTTCCAGGCCCCCCTCCCAGCAGCCTCCCCACTCCCCAGGGAAGGCTGGCTACCCTGGGTACTCTGCGCAGGCTGTGCACGGCACACTCACCCTCCTAGCGGGTCATTCCTGTGTGTCCATCTTCTTCAGAGCAAGAGCCCCTCGAAGGCCCCATCTGCTGTCTTGGTGTCTTCACTAACCAGCTTGAGGGAATCCAGCCAGAGGAAGCCTCCAAGGAGGGTGACATGTCCCCGAGGCCCCAATTACTAGGATCACTTGTGAAATGGCTTAAAAGGCAATTGCGAATTAAGCACTATTTCCATTTCAAAAGAATTTGCTGCTTAGATCCTTCAAAAGGAGAACTCAAGCGTTTGAAATACTCTGATTTATGCAAGTTCGGTGAACTCCCAGCTTCCAAGATGCTGATCTAGGAGGAATAATCTGAGCAGGTTAGAAGCAGCCCCAGGGGTGGGAGTGAGGGCAAAATGGGTGGGACTCCAGCCCCCCATCACCACCACCAAGAGTTCCTGGGTTTTTACCTATAAGATTTCCATTGATTAGAAGCCAAAATGATGCTGCTAAAAATAGGAGAGTGTTTGATCCCGTGAAAAGAGCAGGACTCCCCCAGTTGCTTTGACAAATGCGAAACTTTGTTTTTTTTGTTGTTGTTTTGTCCTAAGGTAGACATTACCCTGGGGCTTCCCTTGTCGCTCACTCAATAAAGAATCTGCCTGCAGTGTAGGAGACCCGGGTTCGATCCCTGGGTTGGGAAGATGCCCTGGAGAAGGAAATGGCAACCCACTCCAGTATCCTTGCCTGGAAAATCTCATGGACAGAGGAGCTGCTGGGCTGCTGTCCATGGGGTTGCAAAGAGTCGGGCACGACTGAGTGACTTAATCCAATCTGCATTTGAACACTGGCTCAGCACTTGTTAGCTGTGTGGCCCTGCGGGAGTCACTGAATACCTCTTCAGACATTACCCAGAATGGTGGGCTTCTTGGAGGAGGATCATTTTGAAGCACAGGGTCTGAGCCGAGTCTGCCTGGGCCCTCCCAT